TTTATTCATTCATTTATTCATTCATTTATTCATTCATTTATTCATTCGTTTATTCATTCACTTATTCATTCGTTTATTCATTCACTTATTCATTCGTTTATTCATTCGTTTATTCGTTCGTTTGTTCATTCATATGTTCATTAATTTGTTCATTAATTTGTTCATTCATTTATTCATTTATTTATTCATTCATTTATTCATTCATTATTTCATTCATTTATTTATTTATTAAGGACATTCCACATAGAAAACACTACACATTAAATATCGAACATAATAGCTTAAAATTAAGTGCTTCTACACTTAAGGAACATCACAGCATGCAATGACAACAATATGCTAAGAAATATTAATAAAATTCTTGTTGTTTTAAATTATGCGAATATATAATTAATCTATCTACTTATAAAATCGATACACACAAACGGTTTTAAAAATTCAAAACATTAAAATATAAATTTGAGAGAATTTACGAAGTACTATAAAAATAATTGAAATGTAATTTATGTATTTATAATATCACCCAGCCTTCTTTTGTAACTGTTTAACCCAAGACCAATGTCCAAATCATGTGATTTGGAAAGCGAGTTATACGTACTGCAGAGCCTTGGCAAAAGAGTGAAATGACCGAGGTTCGTTTTTGAACCTGGTACGGCAAAAAAGTTGTAAGCGCTTTTCCTGGGCAACCTACAAGGAGTAATTGAATAGCAACATATTCAATAACTCAGGGTAATCTAACGAACCGATAACAAGTTTATGTTAGGAATATTAAATCAAATCTCTTTCTGCGGTTGACCAAAGAAGTCAAATTGTAATGCTTCTGTCTATGTGAGTACCCCGGAAATCTCTTAGCCCTATAATCGCCATATGCCAAGTGATACAGAAAGCGTTTTTGAACACTTTCCAAACGTTTGATGTATACTTCGTAATGTGGAGTCCAAATAACACTGTTAAATTCTAGTCCATGTTACGAACAAAGTGTAGGCATTGACGCACCGAATAAGCGGAAGTTGAACTTCTTGTTTAATTGTAATATGGCTTGGGTTTGTTGGTCCTACGTCACATTAGAACAATAGAAACAAGTTCGGAGTGTTCGGTTCCAGTATTCTACGTGAGCAGCAGAGACCCTTTACTCCTATTAGTGCAGTTGTCCAGTTCAATTATACGAGTTAGTTCGATCGAGCGATTGCATCGCTGATGCATCGTTGTTAAAAGTCGCCATGTGTAACCGCTTTTATTCTATGTGAACGAGTATGTGTATTATGCATCGTGTAAATGTGTATGTAGACCTCTATGAAATCCTGCAATCGCATTATACCTCTATGTTCCGATAATATGTGAAGTGTGATCAGTCGACAAATTTTTTCTCGTATTTTACGGCAAAGTCTAGGTTTATTGTTTAGCTTCATTTACCATCTACCTTTTCAAATAGTTATCTACATTATGATAAAAAAACTTACACTTTGGTGTATCGTCGACGCGAGGTTTGATGCTGTAAAATAGGTTATAATTTATACTGCATATTTTAACACATATTTTTACAATAAATGAGAATAAATTTACCTTTCTTATCCATAATATCATAATAATCATAAGATTTCACGGTCCTTACTTTTTCCTTTTCAAGTTTATCATCATCATTATCGTAGGAGGAATCATGATTGTCCGGTTTATGTCTTAAATGTGAAGAATAATCGCCATAATAATATGTATTTGATTGAAAAGGAGTTGTGGTTTCAAATAGCGTACTTTCATCAGGCGTTGATAAAATTGGTGTATATTGAGGAAGTGTTGTTTCCATGTAGTCATTTATCTTTAATAATTTTTTTTTAGTTGTAGTAGTAGTAGTATTTGTTGCTATTGTTGTGTTCAATGTTGTGATGTCAGTTGTAGAATTATTGTCGTTTATGGAGCAACCCATTAACAGTTCATCATATTCTAATAAATTACCTGTAAACCAGAAAAAATATCATAAATTTGATTTCGCTTACGTATCATATTCCTATTTGGTTTCTTGACTAGAGTTTAGAAACGAACTTTTGAAACAAATATAATTTGATTTTATACTTGAAAAAATAATTTTAATTGTGTTTATATACAATAAATAATTGTAATACCTACCTTCCGAATCAACGGCTCCTTTTCCCATAGTGCAAATAAATTTTTCATTTAAACCTGTTTCGTTAATCAAATGATAAAAATTCTTTTGGCATACTGTATTACTCACTATTACAGTGGATGCTTCGCGTAAAAACTCTTCATTGTGGTCCATAAGATGGTATGGCTAGTGAAAATAAAGTTAGTTACTTTCGGAGTGAGTACAAATTAGGAAACTTGGGAAGAAGGATGGAGGATTCTTAGATTTTGATCTTGTAATTTTTTTGGGCTTATTTTCGCAAAACAAACACAACTGTTAATATTGTTTTACTTATTTAAACTTTATTACACACAAAATAGCACAAATCGCGTTAGGCGTTATATACGATAAATATCAATTGACCGGACGGACGATTTCTGGTAGTAGGCTACACGCCTATCCATAACAGTTGCAGTGCCACTCAGAGCTTCAAATCGCAAAAATGTGAGTATAAGTTATATATATAGACATAAGTAGACAAGTCCCATGTGCCTGTAATTTCACCAGCACCCTACCCTTCAAAACCGAGTAATGCTCATATTACGCTTGGCGGCAGAAATGGTTAAGGTGGCAATACTTCCCGAGACGAACTCTTTCACAAGCTCTACTGCTACTGAAATGGATGGATTAGTGGATAAAAAATTCCCTTTGCTTTCATTATGAAAATAGATACTGATTTACTTTCTTAGGAAGTGCAATCTAAAGTCTGGCCACGAAACCGGAATTGATGGACGGAAAAGCTAAATGGGACCTAATGAGAAAGCGACAAGGCTTGTCCTGAGACCTGAGGAAGCTGAAACGCTCTTTCAGATACCCGGGAAACTTTTTTTCCGACATATTGTTTGCGTTTTGTGTGTTTGATCGACTACGTAGAGCTGCCAATGGTCAGGTCGGGCTGGAAATCAGGGTTGAAATTAGTGCAAACTGATTTTAACATTTCCCTGAGCTCGTATCTGTCACACACGCATCAAATAGATTTTTTTTATTTAGTTAATTTTTATGTTTTAAATTTTTATTGAATTGATTGATATTCAATTATTTTTATGTGATATTACTCCACTAGTTTGTTATAATAAATGAATATCAATTCAATGAAAATTTAAAATACAATGAATAGCGTAACATCTGTAGCTGGGGCTGATAACTATAAAGGTATTATTGGCGCTACGGCTAAAAAGTCGTTGAAAAAACCAATACAAAGATACGACGCAAGCACATTTGCGTGGCTTAGTTGGTATAGCTTCTGGCACGGCATGCTAGAAAACGTCGATTCGAATCCGGCCGGGTCGAAAGAATTTTTTCTGAATGTTCCATTTCTGTATTAATAATTATAATGATTTTTATGTTGTATTGTGTAATTCTTCTGTTAAATATTATTTTCTCATTTCTGTAGTTCTATTCTATTTTAAATGGTTTTAAATAACTTATGTGATACCCGGGAAAATTTAAGTGCGAAATGTAATTTGAAATTTACCATGAGCTTTTCGGTGGAGGGAAACATAGTGACAATACCTATTCAGTCCTTTTAAAACACGGGTTGTGGAAATCAGCATCAGACAACATAATATTAATACTTACAAATTATTAATATTTGAGTAGCAGAGTTCCTTGTGAAATAAATCGTCCAGGAAAGTACTGCCACCTTACCTATAACTGCTACCAAGCAATAATATGATCATTACCGTCAAGCATGTACTATAGGTTGTAGGTTCTAGTGTAGCCTGGAGAGTCCTGTTAGCATCCTTGTAGAGGTTTGTCATTTCTTGACGTATCAGGAACTACTTACAGTAGCTTCGACATTTTGAACTTTTCCACACACATATGCATACATACATAAGGATCTAAATCTATTACCTCTAAATATTCGCCAAAAAATCGTTGATAATGCGTATATTCTAAACATTATAAATGGTAATGATGACAGCTTTGACTTATTGGGTGATATTTCGTTTACTGTACCTACTCGTTCTATGAGACACTATCACCCTATTGCAGTTCCCTTAGCGAGGATTAACTGTAGACGATAAACGCCATTAGGCGTTCTGTACAGGTAAGTTGGGCTTAGAATAATTATAAGCAGGCGGTACATAACATGGCAAATGAAGAATAAACAGATAGGATCAAAGTTTACAAATAATTATGTAGATACAATATATTAGGGGTTAAAGTATGAAATTGCCGTTTTATTGCAATAGGTTCTTTGAATTTTCATAGAATCTTCATGGTTTGAGGTTTTCGCATGAAACTTTTTTCAAATGGTTTCTGTGATTTTTTTTTAAATTTGAAACATTTGAATATCGACTTTCAATTGTTTTTGTTATTCAATTTAGACAAGAAAGATGGATACTGCGAAAATTCGAGTGATTTTTGAATACGAGTTCCGACGCGGAACTAACGCGGCAGAAACAGCCCGCAATATCAATGCTGCGTTTGGAGAGGGGTCTACTAATGAACGCACCGTGCGATTTTGGTTTAAACGCTTTCGTGATGGAAATTTCGACTTAAAGAACGAGCCACGAGGAAGACCGCCCACACAGGTGAATAACGATGAATTAAGAGAGATAGTGGAAGCCGATCCTAGTCAAACTACCCAGGAATTAGCGGCATGGTTTAACGTTACCTTACCCACAATATTGACTCACTTGCGTCAAATCAATAAAATAAAAAAATACGAAAAATGGGTGCCTCATGATTTGACTGATCTGCAGAAAGAAACGCGTGTTGAAACTTGTGTTGCCTTGTTGAACCGGTACAGAAATGAAGGAATATTGGATCGAATTGTAACATGTGATGAAAAGTGGATTCTTTATGATAACCGGAAAAGAAAAATGCAATGGCTGACCCCAGGTCAAATGCCACAACAGTGTCCTAAAGCAAAACTTACCAATAAAAAGGTAATGGTAACTGTTTGGTGGTCTCAGCATGGTGTTATTCACTATAGTTTTCTCCGATCTGGTCAAGCAATAACGGCAGATGTCTATTGTGCCGAACTCCGAACCATGTTGACAAAACTAGCAGTAAAACAGCCCCGACTCATGAATCGATCTTCACCATTATTGCTCCACGACAACGCGAGACCTCACACAGCACGAGAAACCATTTTGACCCTTCAGGAACTGCAGTTAGAAACCATTCGTCATCCTCCGTATTCACCAGACCTTGCTCCAACGGACTACCATTTTTTTCGTGATTTGGACAATTATCTACGTGACAAGAAGTTTTCTTCCCAGGAGGCAGTACAAAATGCTTTCACACAGTTTGTGCAGTCTAGATCGTCGGAGTTCTATCGCAAAGGCATTAATAACCTTCCCATTAGATGGCAGTAATGTATAGATAATAATGGCAACTATTTTGATCAAATAAATTTGTTAAAAATTTAAAAAATAAACAATTTAGATTTTCAGTACAAATCGGCAATTTCATACTTTAACCCCTAAATATTTACCTACATATAATACATAACTTACTTTTAGTGGTAGTAGAGCTTGTGAAAGAGTTCATTCAGGGAAATACTGCTACCTTATCTATTTCTGCCGCCAAGCAGTAACGTGAGCTGTGGTGCTGGTGAAATTACAGCCACATGGGACTTGTCAACTTATGTCTCATGGTGATGGGCGCAGTGGCAGCCCCACTCCAATCTTTTGCGATGTAAAACTCTGAGTGGCACTGCAATTGTTATAGACAGGCGTCTCGCTTACCACCAGGCCCACGACTTGGTCGTCTCGTCACTTGGTGTCAGATTGAACAAAAATGGATAGTTCTGAAAATGTTCAGCGCTCTGAAAGCCAAATTGTGTAAAACAAAGAAGAGTTGCAAATATGAGAATAAACGTCTCATGGCCAATTGTAGCTTGCAAAATAGATCCAAAGTCTTACCATTTTGAAATGCGAAGAATCACCCCATCCTAACTCTACTACGTCATTACCAATAGCCTGGGCGTAGCGTCCAAAATTGATTGCTATAAGTCCAGGTGCGTATGAACAATCTATCATATAAGTATCATCATTGAAGTCATAAGGACTTTCTACGACTGCTAAGCCAATATCGTGTACATTTGCCCATGACTGGACATTAGTATGATCCATTTGATACGCTGAAAATTAAAAAAAAAATGTTTATATCCACTATGGTAGGTACGAGCGACAGAGGGCAGCATTGATGAGAGACCTGTGGATAAATTGAACATTTAATTATTATATGCCCGTATTTGTTGAACCAGCTCTCCAGCAGCGCTGCCTGGACACATAAGTTGTAGTTAAGGATACGATGGAACTGTCATATACATTGTATACTAACCGATCCTTATTTTTAAAAATTTGTTCTGAGTCACGACCTATTTGGTTTGCTGCAACAGATAGAAGCGGGGTCGTAGGGAGCGCCAACTAACCCGTCCCCCCGTGCGCGAGATGCAGAACAATAATCGTTACGTCTAAAAATGTCTAAAGCTTCGTCTAAAGGATGAAAAGCGACTCACAGTCCGGTACACAAGTCTTGACAACTTTTTTCTTCCTCTTGCTAGTGCATGTGTCCATGTCAATAAGGTCTGCGTTCACGTAACGACGGTAACCAGCTATAGCATAGATGTATTCAAAAGTAGAAAGACAAGCTGCAGAAGTGAGAATGTGTAGCTTAGTGACAATGGCACCACCACACGTCCATCCGCCTTGTTCATCTGGTAAACTTAGGTTTGATTTGAGGAAGTATACCTGCAATGTAATTGTACTTTAATAACCCATGTATATAATCCTACTGCTCAGTGCTGTTCTCCTTCAAGTAGAATTTGGTCTTACTACATTATTTTGATCCGATGACGTTTAAGGACTTTTGTTCGAATCCCTGAACCATAGTATAATAAAGCACGTAGTGCAACTCCCGCCTGTTCGGCGCATCGTCGCTTTGCTGGAAGCGTAGGGTTGCTACATTATTATTTAATTGAACTGAATAGGTCGTGCAGGTTAAGTTTAAGCAAAAAATTAAATTAAACTGAGTTTTATTTCTTTCTTGCTTAGGCATAGTTAGACTTAGGCATTGTTCGTTAATTACGATAAAGTCGCTTAGCTCGCCATTTTTGCGTATTCGAAGTCAAGTTAAAAAAAGTTAAGTTAAAGTTCGTGTTATAAATCCCAGATTTAGATTCTTTAATAGTAGGGTTATATTAATTAATCCTCACCATGTACCTTCTGTCACCTTCTACTACTTGACCACCAGAAATCCTGCGTTCGCTCAAGTTTTCTAAAAGCAATAATGGTTAATAAGGATTTATTTTTTGTGCTGATTGAAAATTAAATGGACTATCAAACTGCCAAAGTAAGCAATAATTTGGGTAAACTGAAAACTCGAGACTCAAAAGACTCATCTCTGGGATAGAATTAGAAACCTTGAAATGGCATACTTTTTTTTAAAATATCAAGTTACGGGACGAACAAGTGCCTAATTGTCAAGTAACACGTGCCTGTAGTTTCACCAGCACTTTTATTTTTCAAAACCCGAACGCACTATGCTCATATTACTGCTTCGAGGTTAATAGTTACGACGGTAGTACTTCCCTAGATGAAATCTTTCACAAGGACCTTTACTACCAGTAACTACTAATTCTACTGCATGTGCTATCATTATCACTGTTTATTGCCTTATGTCCCTATTTATCGACCTGAGACAGGGTTTTCCGGAGAGACTACTGACTCGACAGCAAGACCAGGGTTCGGCGGGCGTCCGGGCCAAGCCCTTCGCTAGTTATACGTCTTCATGGGCATCTCTGGCGGACCCGGATTTGGGTATGGACTCGTCGGGATTTGTGGTTAGCTACAGGGATGAACACGTTCGTCTACCCCGGTAGTGTGTGACCGGGTCTTTCGCCCTGCGTGTAGCTAGCGCTTCTTAGTAGCGGTCTAGTTGAGGGCCTGAGGCGATGAGACGCGCGGGTCACGTGAGTTGCCCTTTAAGTCGGTGGCTATGTCCGGACATTGTTGCAGGCCACTGCCACTTGGCATCTCCGGCACTAGCCCGGAGAGCTAATAGAGGATGAGCTAGACATCTTCCGATCGCTCCAGTCGCGTAGGAATTTGGGAACTAAGCCATGCGCCACCAATGAGGAGATTTGGTAGTGGACCGAGAGTCGACGGCCTAGCGGTGGCAACCGCTAGTTGTGCAACGCGCAACGGGAAGTGAGTGTACCTACAGCTCCGGTATCTAGCTGGAAAATGTGGGGGTACTGTACGTGCACTCGTGGCGGCTCACCCGGGTTACTAGCTTCTCGAAGAACTGGATGAAGTCAAGTGACAGTGGTCTGTGACAACCCTGTACACTCGCTGATCTGGGGTCAGAACCTGAACTTATAAGGTTCTTGTGTGCGTACAGGTTACAGTGCCCTTCTCGTATACTCTAAGCGTCGGTAGGGAGGGTCACTATAATCAACACTAATGTAGAAAAGTATGGGGCTGTTTAGTGCCTTTACAAGCTAGATATCCTCCGATCCATCCAGATGCATAGGAATTTGGGAATTGGTGAGACGCTTAGGCGTCGTGACGTGAGCATGTCGATAGCGGGAATTTGGTAGTTGATGTTAGTGTCAACGGCCTAGTGGTGGCAACTGCTAGTTGTGCAATGCACAGTAGGAGGCGAGAGAGCAAACAGCTCCGGTATCATATTATTATTATTGAGAACCAAAAGAAAACCGGATAACTTCCCGTGACCTTCTTGTATAACCAAAAGGTTACGTAGGTAGGGCACAAGAATCAAAACTTGGTAGAAGATATGGGCTTGTTTAGTGTCCCGTAATACAGTATCAAACCACATAAATCCAGTTTAATCCAACTGGTAATCCGCCAAGCTGGCCTGGCACACGGGTTGGAACTTTTCACGTCACGCAGGTTTCGTTGCGTGATGTGGTTGTCGTCACATATTTCCTGTCACCGTTATAGCGAGTAAACGAAATTTCACATTATTTGTAACGGTTCAGCGTAGGAAATCAAACACGGGCCAACTGCAGACGAAATCTTCTCTCGATAAAGCATAACAAAATGAGTAATTGAAAAGCACTTACGTTTGAACAAACAGGCAAATAAGACAATAGCATTAAAATTGTAACATGATTTTTTCGAAAACATTTTTTAATTTCTTTTACACTTTGTAAGCATAAATTATGTCCGCGAATTTAGGCACTATTGCAATTTTTAATACAAAATACGAAGTGGCCGTCTGCTTGAGGGTATTTTAATGTAAAGTGAATGGAATATACACTCCCGGACACATGATTCGAGCCACCACGCATTTTCAGTATTAAGTGCCCTAAGCTTAAACAATGTTTCATTGATCAAAAAGTATTACGTAATTTTGAAACTAGTATACTAAAAGTCTTTTCTATAAGTCCTCGTTGGGAATTTGGATTTGCAAAACCGGGGAAAACTTTTTCTTCGATAATAATACTATTTTTGTGTTCTAGCCCTCTACGACAAAAATGCGAGGTGGCACGAAGTATGCGTCCGGGAGTATATTTAAGTTCTATTCAGTTTTTAAAGTATCTGGCTTCAAAAACCGAATTTCTATTTTTGAATTCCTATTTCGAATTCAATTTTAACTTTTTTCTAGGCAATTTATTTTATTTACGATGTTTTTGTTTTTTATATTTGTCCTGACTAAAAAGAATTTTATAATGTTAGTGTTCTAAGAAGTAATAAATGCCTCTTCGTAGGAATAAGTACAAGTCACTGAATGAGTTAAAAATGTTATCTTATAAGCATTCGATACGGGCGATTGACAAAAATAATAACTGATATAAACCAACGTGCATGCAGGTTTTATTTGCTAGGTGGAAGCACCATTTTTCTTCTTCATTCTACATGGGCGCGCGTGTTTGTCTCAATTCACATTGCCACGGGACAGGGGGTCCATTCTTGTTCTCCGTCCAATATCCATACGAAACAATTATTGCCAAATAAGTAGTAGTCGATCAAATTAAAAGAAGCATGATGCGAATGAAACTTTTTACTTGACATTGTCTTTTCACCTCTCTAAGCTCCTTTTTCCTCGTAGTGAGCGCCTGGTGTCCCATTTCGGTTTTGTATGAGAGTGATGTATCTGTTACGTAGTCACTATTAAGTAATCTCTGGTATTACTTAGGTACTTTTAAAAATAAAATAATGACTCTATGAAGCAAAATATCCTATCCACAAATTTAAAGTACTTCAGTAAAGATACTGTTATAAATAATAACTAAACTAAATAACTGTGATAAATTTAGCGCTATACAGGTGTATAGCGTAAATTTGAATGCGATATTTTAATTAAAATGTACTGGACGTTTATATGGTTCTTTTTTATGATATCAAGCAACGGTATGAACAAGTCATACGCCTGATAGTAAGCGACACGCCTACCTATGACAGTTGCAGTGCCAGTGCTACTACGCTCGTCACCCTGAGACATAAGTTGTAAAGTCCAAATGCCTGTAATTTCACCAGCACCCTTACCCATCAAAACTAGAACGCAGTAATGCGCACATTACCGCTAGACGGCAGAATAGGTAAGGCGGCTGTACTTCTCTGGATGAACCTTTTACCAGGAGCTCTACTGCTACTAATTACTAACTCTACTGCATTTTGAAACGGGAGATACCGGAGAGCCCATTGCAGTCACAGTCGAGAGAGGATCAGCCATTTTACCTTACGTGTGAGGTGTTGCAGATAAGATCGGAAGAGTCCTCAGGCGTGCATCTATCAAGACCTATTTCAAGCCCCTGAGGAAGATTTCTCACAAGAGGCAGGAGTTTACAAGCTTGACTGTGACTGCGGTCTCTCTTATATTAGACAAACGAAGCGAATTATTTGAACCCGCGTCAAAGAACATACAGCTGATGTCAAACACCGTCGCGTCAACAAGTCTGCAATCTGAGAGCATGTCATGGGTCAACCTACACATTCAATGTAAGGGAAGTATCCTCGGTCCATCACTGTTCCTGGTTTACATCGACGCCCTCTGTCGGCTCCCGTTAACCAATGGTAGAGTATTTGCGTATGCTGATGACACTGCCTTAGTTTTTCATGCTAACTCTTGGACCGAAGCTTTCCGACACGCTCAGTCGGGTTTTGATGCCGTGTCAAACTGGTTAAAGTCTAACGTTCTTACATTAAACATTGATAAATGCAATCTAATCTCTTTTACTAAAACTATGGCCACTCGACCTGATCCTATTACCCACCGCATTATTGCCCATCGTTGTAGTTCTCCTGTCACACTTGACTGTGATTGCCCCAATATTCTGTGCACTAACTGCGTTAAGTACCTTGGTGTTCTGATTGACGGTACTCTGACTTTTAAGCCTCAGATCATTGCACTCTCCTCAAGGATTCGTAAATTAATTTTCGTTTTTAAAAAACTACGACACGTCGCTGAACCTTTCATCATCAAAACTGTTTATTTAGCCCTATGTCAGTCACTGCTCGTGTATTGTATCACCGCTTGGGGTGGAGCTGCGAAAACTCTCCTTTTAAAATTGGAATGTGATCAACGTACGATTCTGAAAGTGGGTTGGAAGCTACCTTTTATGTTCCCCACTACTAACCTTTTCAAAAATTGCGAGGTTTTAACGGTTAGGCAGCTCTTCATTCTACACACAATTCTAAAAGCGCATTCCCTTGTGGTTTTCAATCCAACATCTTTCGCTATTGTACGTCGACAGCATCATGTTTATCCACCTTTTGCCGCTAGCAGTAGTTTTGCTCAGCGATTCTTTTGTTTTTTGAGTGGGTTCTTGTATAACAAAATAAACCATTCACTAGTTATTTATGGGCTTTGCAGATTTGATTGCAAACATGTAGTGTCGAATTGGTTGTTACGACTTGACTATTCTATGACTGAAAGTCTTCTTACCGTTCTCAGTTAAATCTTGGTAGCGCGTTCTCTCGCGTGCGTTCACACACACATACTCACACACATATACACACATATACACATACATCTACATCACATAACTTGGCTTCATAATTTTGATTTGTTACATTTGTTTGTGTACCATTTAAGTATATGCCATAATTTTCACTTCGTGTGCAGTTGTGCCAGTAACTATATATTTATAATCTAACAAAACCCTTTTGCCTTTTTTTCTCAATCACTTTTATTTTGATTATATTCTGGTTGGAATGTTCTGTTGGGTGAGTGCCTGGTGATCTGTAATACAGGTCTAGTAACCTAGTACGGACTCCAGTCTCTCACAAAGGCCGATTATGTAATTGTTAGTTATAATGTTTAAGTTGTACCTTTGTGTTTTTTGAGAAAATAAATCATATTATTATTATTATTATTATTATTAATGTAGTTTGACAAACCCCAGGTTCTTGCAAAAGAAGTCCGTTATCTACCCAGGATCCTGCGAGAGGCCATTGAAATTAAAAAACGTCCTAATTACAACAGAGTATATCGAGAGCGTCATCTGTACCGCGTCGCGCAAGCTTGGCATCCTGAACAAGGTGCACCGATTTTTTACTCCGATTTTTTACTTTAGAGCTGCGATACCTGTTGTATAAAGCTCAGGTCCGAAGCAGCATAAAGTACTGTTCGCACCTTTGGGACGGCTCTGCCAAGTACTTGCTCGATGCCCTAGATGGACTGCAGCGCTACGCCTTCCGTGTTGTCAACGATCCTCATGTAACTGAGCATGCGGAGTCGTTACAGCTTCGCAGAGATATAGCGTCTCTTAGCATATTCTATCGCCTGCACCACGGTGAGTGCTCTGAAGAGTTATTCAACCTTACCATCATTCTCCTTTCCATCAGCGGACCACCCGTGCCGGACTGCGTTGCCACAGTTGGACGGTCAGTTCAATACCGTCCCGCACTAAAAAGTTTGGCAATTCGTTTTTATGCCGAACAATCAAATTGTGGAACCAACTCCCGGCGCATGTATTCCCTCCCCTCTATAACATCGGGTCCTTCAAACATAGTGTGTAGAAGCATTTGGCCAGACCGGCAAAATGATAGTGACGGAGTGAAGATATTTGTGTTTTCCATCCGTTACTCTCATCTCTGGACTGTATTCGCACTTTCCATCAGACGCGGTGTAGTCATTTTGCTGAGTCACTATAAAAAAAAAGAAAAAAACAAAAAACGGAAGATGGTTTCTCCGTACCACCAGTTTGAGATCCTGTATTTCCTCTGATGAAAAATCCCGAACATAAGACATAAGACTGCAGAACTAATTAATATGTTTCATTTATTCTAATTTCTATTATTTATTAATAATAAATTGAACTTCGTAAAAATTCATTCAATAAAATCATTTGTAAAACGTACTCGTAATGTAGTATAAATTGGAATGTTTCTTTGTAAAATCAAAAATAAGGTATTTAATTAATAACTTTTGTAACTATAGTGAAAAAATGGGGTGGTTTGCATTAATATTAGACATAACTCGTTGATGACTGTACCACCTCAGTCAACCGTGACCATGGGACCTGTAAAGGGCCCGAAACGTCGGTTTGTTTGAAAAAACAAATATACGCGACTTAAATCCGGAAAAATAGTTTCATTTCCTATACATAGTACCTTCTTAACGTACTCACAGTTTGTGTTAAACAAATCAAAATTGTAAAGAGCAGAAACTTTGTGAAAATTATTGCGCGCACGCCATATAAACGAATTTCGTTTGTAATTTTGTAAACCGACAGGTAAATGAACTAGTAACTCGTTACGTAAATGCTTAGCTGGCACCCTTAAGTGAATCTCAGACAGAAGCTCGCTTAGTGTCACTGTAATACAGTTACCATACAAATCCATTCCAATCCAGCGGGTAATCTGCCAAGGCGACCAGTACGAGTGGTTGACTTTTCGCGTCACGCAGGTTTTGTCACGTGATGTGGTCCGTCACATATTTTCCATCACCCCGTTGTAGTGAGTAAACGAAATTGAACATTATTTGTAACGATTACACGCACATTACTGCTTGGCGGCAGAAATAGGTATGGTGGCTCTCCCCTGGACGAGTTCTACTGCTACTAGGAATAATATTGTCTGGGCCTAAATCACTTTACACATTATGTACTTTTTGATGTATACGGGGATACATGGTGAAATATTTCATGTTTTAATAAACTCCGTTTTTCATACATTTTCATTGCCTGCCGTTAACGAGCACGTGTCGCTACGGGATTGGAAATCGAACGAACAAAACCAGTGCAAACTTTTTAATTGGATCGCCAA